AAAAAACAACAAACAAAGAAAACAAAAAAAAAACAAAAAACGAGGTCATCATGTAATTTATACCCTGTTTGTCTACATTTGGTCTGATGCACAGGACTTCTGATTTTGCAGGTGTACATGTCAGCTTGTTTTCTGTATCGTCAGAACACAAAACTAGTGTGACGCTATTTCCATCTGAGCACATCTCTGTTAATTAAGCTGCAATAAAAAAATAAGAAGCAGAAAATATACCTAACCAAGGGGAAATTCAATTTGTTTTTCGCTCTGTTGTCATATACACACACATGCACAAACAGGACCTATACATGCATTAAAAAATGGAGAGTCATCAGAGTGAGGGGGCTGACTTGGACAGGCACCCTGAGCAGTTCAGTGCTCAAGGGCACCTTGGCAGTGCCCAGGAGGTGAACTGGCACCTCTCCAGCCACCAGTCCACGCTCCACACGGTCTAAATGGAGACTTGAACTGGTGACCCTCCAGTTCTCAAGCTCAGTCCCTATTAACTGAGCCACTGCCGCCCCAAACCCGAGACCCGGTATTAAACAACCCAAGGTAAATTTAATCAAGACCGTAATAACAGTAAGCTCCGCCATTATCGGCGTTACTTTTTAAATTTTTGGTTTCATGTATCATCATTCCGCTGCCTCTCTCCTGCTCTCTGCATGTCAGGGCTGAAATCCTCACAGCACACAGCACACACACACACACACACACACACACACACACACACACACACACACACACACACACACTCAACAGAGTGAAGTCAGAGAGGCCGCGGTGCAGATGAAGGGAATATAACTTCAAGATTACTCTAGTTGAGACAACTATGCTTGTGAGTAAGTGTGTGAAAAACCTCTTCCAACCAAGCCAATACTTTATCAATGTGATGAGCATATAGAAAGCCATAGCCTTTTTCAACCTGCTCTGTCATTGAAATATGATTCTCTCATTCACTGCTATTATGACTTAGCACATTGCTAACAGCAAACTGTTAAACGACAAACTTAAATGAAAGTTGTCTGTATGTAGGCTAACACTTTATCTGAAGATGTACCTGAGGCAGCCGACCTGCAGACAGTGAGTGTCCTCAGTAGAGGAGGGACAGAGAGCAGGATGAATGACTGATACTGATGTTTGTCTTCATGCTGAGATAACGTGACTTTCTTCACTCAGTATTGTGATGTCAGGAGGAATATTTATATTCCAGTTGTTGTAAACATGACTGTTGCTGCCATGGACTGTATAAAACTATATCCTGTGAAACTGACCTGTAAGGAAAATGTCAGGAGGTGAGGTGTGTGCATGTGTGTGTGTGGAGCAGAGGAGAGAGGGAGATGCTGGTAGAGATAGTGTGTGTTGTTAGATACTGTTAATGTCACTTATTATGCTTCTATGCATTGATATATCTTTTTTAGTCTGTTTCTGCATTATGTTGAGGAGGGCCATGCCTGTATATATATATATATATATATATATATATATATATACACACACACACACACACACACATGTATAGGCTATATATATGTGTGTGTGTGTGTGTACATGTATGCAAAAAGAAAAAGTGGATCGGTTGCTCGCTGCTAAAACTGTGGCCCATCGACATGATCTGGTTTTGAAATGTGGCCCAGTTGAAATAATAATTGATTAGCCCTGCTGTAGTTTGTTTGTTTGTTAACTATCTAACTACACATCAAAAATAATTGTAAGCCAGTCTTGTTCAGTGAATCAGTTTATCATGTACACACATGTAAAAATATTTAGGCCTGATATTTAAGATTGTTTGCTTATAAATACATGAACCTGGTTGTTCTATATTTAAAACACATTGGGTTTATTAGTGCTATTAAATAAATCACATTATTACTTATTATACTCATTATTATTACTTGAGCTTGTTTTATTTTTTCATTTCACAGATAGTTATACATCCTTAGTCCTTAAATTAAATTCATTATGGACGTGGACTTAAAATCATTGTTTTATTTTATGGCCTTGCTGCTCTGGCTTTTGGCCTTTGTGCCCTCAAAAAACTGAGAACACGAAGGGCCAAGTGGCCTTGCCCCTAAAATGACGAAATTCCAGGCCTGTTCTGATGAATGCCCACAGCTCACAACTGTTACTGCATTTGTGTTAGCACACAGTTGACCATTTAACACATTCAGCAGACACACAGCTACATCAGCATTTATTTAGAATAATGTCTTCTTCCTCATGATCAATCTGAGTTCAGTAATCATTGTTCTTTTAGCTGCTTTGGTCTTTACCAACATTTATCATTTCTCCACTAGTTAGTCGCTCACGTAGTCTGCTGCTTGGTGCTGAGCAGGTAGAGTACAGTGGGTTTATCAGAGCATTCTCTCTCAAAACTTCAGAAAGCTGCAGCAGATGTGCTTTTGTCCCTGCAAGTGACTTGTTTGCTTGAATTGGCAAGACTTCAGCAGTAACAACAGAGACAATGGGGAGTGACAGAATAGGGGATGTTATTGAATGGTTCAGAGAATGGAAATTTGGCCCTAACACTGCACCAACAATTGATAGTGTAAACAGTGTGACTGCTACTCTCAGTTGCATGCTCTCAGTCTCTCAGTTGATTTGTGCATTTAGATATACAGTACAGGCCAAAAGTTTGGACACACCTTCTCATTCAATGCGTTTTCTTTATTTTCATGACTATTTACATTGTAGATTCTCACTGAAGGCATCAAAACTATGAATGAACACATGTGGAGTTATGTACTTAACAAAAAAGGTGAAATAACTGAAAACATGTTTTATATTCTAGTTTCTTCAAAATAGCCACCCTTTGCTCTGATTACTGCTTTGCACACTCTTGGCATTCTCTCCATGAGCTTCAAGAGGTAGTCACCTGAAATGGTTTCCACTTCACAGGTGTGCCTTATCAGGGTTAATTAGTGGAATTTCTTGCTTTATCAATGGGGTTGGGACCATCAGTTGTGTTGTGCAGAAGTCAGGTTAATACACAGCCGACAGCCCTATTGGACAACTGTTAAAATTCATATTATGGCAAGAACCAATCAGCTAACTAAAGAAAAACGAGTGGCCATCATTACTTTAAGAAATGAAGGTCAGTCAGTCCGGAAAATTGCAAAAACTTTAAATGTGTCCCCAAGTGGAGTCGCAAAAACCATCAAGCGCTACAACGAAACTGGCACACATGAGGACCGACCCAGGAAAGGAAGACCAAGAGTCACCTCTGCTTCTGAGGATAAGTTCATCCGAGTCACCAGCCTCAGAAATGGCAAGTTAACAGCAGCTCAGATCAGAGACCAGATGAATGCCACACAGAGTTCTAGCAGCAGACCCATCTCTAGAACAACTGTTAAGAGGAGACTGCGCCAATCAGGCCTTCATGGTCAAATAGCTGCTAGGAAACCACTGCTAAGGAGAGGCAACAAGCAGAAGAGATTTGTTTGGGCCAAGAAACACAAGGAATGGACATTAGACCAGTGGAAATCTGTGCTTTGGTCTGATGAGTCCAAATTTGAGATCTTTGGTTCCAACCGCCGTGTCTTTGTGAGACGCAGAAAAGGTGAACGGATGGATTCCACATGCCTGGTTCCCACTGTGAAGCATGGAGGAGGAGGTGTGATGGTGTGGGGGTGTTTTGCTGCTGACACTGTTGGGGATTTATTCAAAATTGAAGGCACACTGAACCAGCATGGCTACCACAGCATCCTGCAGCGACATGCCATCCCATCCGGTTTGCGTTTAGTTGGACGATCATTTATTTTTCAACAGGACAATGACCCCAAACACACCTCCAGGCTGTGTAAGGGCTATTTGACCAAGAAGGAGAGTGATGGAGTGCTGCGGCAGATGACCTGGCCTCCACAGTCACCGGACCTGAACCCAATCGAGATGGTTTGGGGTGAGCTGGACCGCAGAGTGAAGGCAAAGGGGCCAACAAGTGCTAAACACCTCTGGGAACTCCTTCAAGACTGTTGGAAAACCATTTCAGGTGACTACCTCTTGAAGCTCATGGAGAGAATGCCAAGAGTGTGCAAAGCAGTAATCAGAGCAAAGGGTGGCTATTTTGAAGAAACTAGAATATAAAACATGTTTTCAGTTATTTCACCTTTTTTTGTTAAGTACATAACTCCACATGTGTTCATTCATAGTTTTGATGCCTTCAGTGAGAATCTACAATGTAAATAGTCATGAAAATAAAGAAAACGCATTGAATGAGAAGGTGTGTCCAAACTTTTGGCCTGTACTGTATGTTGGAGTGAACTTGGTGTTGCCTTGTGCTCAAGACCATGTTATTTTCACAGAATTTTGGCCACCTAGAGGACATTATTATTATTATACAGTTGATCAGAAGCAATGAACACAGACAGTACACACTTAAACACGATTTACTGTCAGCGAAGTAAAGGAGAGAAAATGGGTGTTTGTGGATGTTTGCACTGTATTCACCCATCAGTGTTTCTGCATATGTACTTCTGTTGATTCTCAAATATCCCTGTGTGACATGCAAGTGATTAGGTAATGCCTGTGAATCATTATACTACCCTGTATTAGTGTGTTCCCATTTACCCTATAGTGTTGATTTAGAAGCTTATCCTTAAACTGTGTGTAATAAAGCTGAAAATATTCTGCCAATAGTTCAAGCCTAAGTCGGTTAGCTTCTCTATTGAAATACCGATAAAGCGAACACATTATATACACCCGTCTAAGTCTATTATTGGTCTCTATGTCTGTTTTATTAAGCTTTTCCTTCACTTTAAACCAAAATATAGTAGTCCAGTTGTGAGATGTGTATCATGGCCACAGGGCTTTTGTTGTAGCAGGACTATAAAGCTTAGTGAGCCCAAGGAAGCAAAGGAAGCTCTGTGTCTGTGTCATCGCTGTAGCGGATCATGCTTTTGTGGAATTATGACCAAGTGTCCGCTCCTCTCCCCTCTTTTCTATGTCTTGCCTCCTCTTTTTCTCCTCTTGCCTTTATTCTCTCTACCCATCTATCTCCTCTGCAGGTTTTGGCTTTGTAACATTTGAAATTGAGGATGTGGTGGAAAAAGTCTGCGAGATCCATTTTCATGAAATCAATAATAAAATGGTGAGTGGCTCCCATTGCATTTCAGAATGTCTGACACAGATCTGGATTAATATTTATTTGATTTTCTTCAGTGTAGCACTGAAAGTGATGGTGGAAACTGATACTGGACCAGCCAGGATGGACACTTGTATACTCACACACACACACACACACACACACACACACTTGGACCTGCACACACACCAGTGAGATATGGAGGGATGAAGGAAGTAGAGGTCAGCTGTCTGTTCAGTGTAACTGACCACTAACCATGAAATTGTGTGTATGATCCCGAAGCACGCAAAAGGGCAGAACAACCTGGCCTTACCTCTGCCCCCATGTCCAATTTCCACGCCAGGATGCTCTGCAAATTAGTCTGGAATGGCTGGCCATGAATGAAGGTTTGTCATTGTAACAGATAAAAAAGGTCAGAATGAACATGGGGGCCCAACAGAAGGTCCCAAGGTAGTGTATCTGCTCCCAACCTTCAGCTTAAATGCTCAAGTATTATCGCAGAACACAGTCTTGCTGGTTCCATGGCATTAAATGCAGCTGCCCATTGCGTAACACCATTATGTCACATTATGACATATCCTAATCCAAATTCATCCAATTGGCCCCAAACGAACAAAACAAAAACACAATAACCTGATTATTCCTCTCCTGTGTCCCACTGTTTTTTCCTGGGAAGCAATGGGAATCTAGACACATCGAGACCCAGTGTTTCTGCTAAACAAATAAACTTGCCTGGTTTGCCATGAGAACACCAAACACTATCGACAGTTTACCTCTGGTGTTAATAGGGTGTTTGGTTTGTGCTTCATTAAAAACACTACATTGATTTTCAGTAAATGAGTTCATTTTTGGATCTTAGAGCTTTCAGCCACCTCTGGGGCCTTCATCTATAAATAGAGTTTGATCTGTTTTCATGGAGTTGTAATGGAGAGGGATGGTGAGTTGCTGTTCCTAGACACCTTTGTTCAAACCCACTCAAACAAACCAATATCTCAATTTAAACACCAACCACCACTTCCAACATTACATATCAGTGGGGAAGGACTGTCCTACACAGAGAACAATATCTTCTTAATAAGAGGAGGATAGAGAGAGGTAGGTGCAGAAGGTCTGGGGGGCACTCAGGAGACCAAATGGGTACAAAGACTCAATGATTAGAATTAGACAACATCAACTGTCTGTAAACACCAGACTAGAACTGCTCCCAGCACTTAAAATAGATCAAAGGTCATCGAGCAGAAGTCAGTGGATGATGGAAGAAAGATCAAGGAGGACATTTCTGTTTGGTCTTGTCTTCACTTAAGCCAAAATGTGTCGAAACGCCAGACTCTTTGGTACAAGCTGCTCAGGTGGTTCAGTAGGCTTGGTGTTTGAGTTCTCCTCCATATTGCTTCAAGGTCGGGGACTAGATGGGGTGGAGTCACATGACTACATATGCAGCAGTACATTTTTAAGGGGACAGTACATGAACACACACAGTGAGGAAAGTATTAACAGAATTAAATTTAGAAAAAAACAAAAAAAAACGCTACATTGATTTTCATGGGCAAGATTATGACAGTTAGAGGTTCTGAATGTCGGTTTTGATTAATTTTCGATGAATTGCCCAGCCCTAGCTACATACATTCCAATATGTCTGTCACGGCATGTAGAAGAGCTATTCCCATCAGAAAGCATCTGGCAGTGGCAACTGGGGCAGTCTACCACAGCAGCATTGCTATGGCGGCCTTCTATAGTTTTAATGGACCGGCCCCACACTGTATGGTGAATGATGTGCACCTGTGCAGAGAAGTATGACATGAACAAACAGTGGATGTATGGGAAAGCCATCCATGAATTTTGATATTACAGCGGTCAGGTTGCCATTGATCTTATATGTATCAGATTTTAGACCACATAGGGAAATGGCCTAGATCTGAATTGGAAAAAAAATGGATTTCTTTGTCCACATTACTCTGAAAAAAAATCAGATCTGTTATCACATTAGAGTAAAAAAATCAAATTTGGGCCATGTTTGCTTGTTATATGGATGTAACTTTACTGTAGAGGCTAATGTTTTGTCATCATGTATCTCCATGAATGTCACATCCCCTCAGCCATCTCCCATCTACATTATGAACTGCATTGCTGAATACTGAACTACTCCCTCTGTATTTTTGTCACAGTGCAACAGTTAAGTGAATTGGACTTGTAACACTCATATTAAGAAGTCTCTAAACAGAACTAATAGAAGTTTTGAATAAACATACGAAAATGTTCTTGCCCCAGTCCCAATGTTTTAAACTGTGGCCGATTTTTGACTTCAGACTTCTTACTCTATATTTCTCTCTTACTCTTCTTACTCAACATTTAGTAATCTGTGTTAGTCAAAAGGATATGATCCCTTTACAAAATACCTTCTCACAAATACAACAAATACACACACACGCGCGCGCGTTAGCGTTACACATGTCGTCTTATCTCTCCTTAATTATACAGTAAGATGATCCCATGCTGCCGTCAATGTGAGCTCTTTTTCCCCCAGTCTTGTTACTGTAATGTCACTGAGTCAGCATGTAGCTGATATCATCCAAACAACCCAGAGCTGTGGACAGTAGGAGGAAGCCCTGCATCTGCTAGCTATTGATTTTCACATGATATCACATCACATGCTTTTATTGTTTGGGGAGCTCAACAGTGCTGACCATGATTTCTTTATTTTAGTCGATATCTCCCCATAGAGACCCGGCAGCCTCCCTCCTTCTTCCACACCACTCATTGACCGGCCTGCTTTAAATTGGGCTACAAGGGAATTGAATGCATTCTTAGCAGGGGAAAACAGGCAAGAGGAGGGGGTAATACAGAAACATAGGGGAGAAGAAGAAAAAGAATTGCAGCTGGAATCCCAGACCTCGCAGGCATTAATACCAAGTACAAATTCAGTAAATAAGTAGCAGTGTTTTTTTTTTTTTAATTTTCCTTTGCTGTTTGCTGTCAGTGTGGAGTAATATAAGCCCTGATTTCCCAAATGTATTGTGAAAATCCAAGAGTACTGGACTACAGCAGGAAACGCTGCAGTTGGTTCCTGAGCTGAAAACCGACCAGTGATCTTGCAGTTACCATGCATGTAGACCATTAGGGCATCAGGACAACGGACTTTATTCAGTTATGTATTTTTGACGGCAAAAGATAGTAAATATTGAAACTAACAAACACGTGGTTACATTTAGCCAACACATGCTCCGGAGCCTTTGTGCTCCTCTGTCTCCACTGGATAGTGTGATGTGTGTGGTTGTGCTGCTGCCGTGGTCCTGCCAGATGCCTCCTGCTGCTGCTGTTATCATTAGTCATACTTTTACTGTTATTATACACATATGATTATTGTCACACATGTATACTATCAGATATTAATATATTATTATTAATTATAATATTATTACTTTAATTAATGTTGTTGTAAGCTACCGTCATTACCGTCTGTCCTGCATCTCTCTCTGTCTCTGTCTCTGTCTCTCTCTCTCTTTCTGTCTCATTATGTCATACGGATTACTGTTAATTTATTATGTTG